ATAGAGACAACATATAGAGGAGCAACATATAGAGGAGCAACATATAGAGGAGCAACATATAACATATAGTCACATCTTTAAACGCTAAATATACTTTATATCATTAGCTAGCATTAGCTGGCTAACTTTACATGTGACATGTCTCCTGTATCTTCTGTCTCTATCTCACCACAGTAGTTAGTTATCGTAATTACGAATCTCTCTCTTGCAACTAGTGTTTACGTGTTCTTAGGACAGGGAAGGCTAATGCTGCGTTCACACAATGTCGGCGGAGCTGGAATACCGGGACCAGTTGGTAGGTGGTTAGCCGTAGCGCTAACTTTGTTGTCACACAAAACAAACAAAATGTCGTTGTGTGACATATTTGTAGCATTTCTGAAACCAGGAACAAACAAACATTGTGTAGCTGCTTTAAAAGGAGCTGCATTGATCGTATTGATCAGTTTCTGGAGATATCGTTAGAGATATTGCCGATAACTCGAGGCTGACGTGAGCAGTTGTGGTTTTTGTAGATTTATTAATGACGTTAATGTGTTAACCAGTGAGCAGCGTAATGTGACGGCTCAGCCACACTCATTAAACCTGTTTATGTAAAGGACCCAGGTTGAGAGGAAGTCATTTTATAACCGATCAATGATCAATGATGACTATAAATTCAGAGCAGATGTTTGTTGTGTTTGTGCCAAATTCAGTTTTAGTCTCACAAGGATCTTTTTGCACTGAGAGGTTGAACTTCCTCCGACGTCGTCCGAGAGCTGCTGTGATTTCTGTCATTAGTTTTTGTGTTTTTGTTGTTTTTCTTTTCGACGACGTGACGACAGAAACTTTCCGTTATTTAAGCTTTTCAGCTTCTTTAGAATAAAAACTGAATAAAATCTGCAGTTTGAACTAAAATGATATCTGAGTGTTTTTATACGTGTTCAACTGAAGTTCTGCTATTGGAACAGATAAACTAATTCCCCCCGGGATCAATAAAAGGTGGATCAATGTATGTTATTATTCTTATTAAAACGGCTAACTGAAGAATAGAAGTGTTAATGTTAATAATTGGATGGAGCTAATTAATGAAACAATACAGTAATATAATGAAACATTAATTTATACACTAAATACTGGTCATTCTCTTTTTCACATTAATGACATCATTACCAATCTGTGAATGACATTTTAAGATCAATAAGAGTTCAGTAGAAGAATATAAAAGGTTTATTAAACTGCTGTTGTACATCCTCCTGACCAGCAGGGGGCAGACTCAATAAGGACAGAGAGCTATCTGCACCGACCGGCTGGTTTTATTCACAGGTTGGACAGATGATGAGGTGTCGAGCAGCAGGTCTGGACTCCATCAGGGTGAAGATGATGAGGATGATGAGGATGATGAAGATGAAGGTTGGTTTCAGGGTTTACAGAAGAAGACCTGGGTCTTGGTCTGGTTCTGCCAGGGAATCAGCCAGACCTCAAAGTGACACTGAAACGTCTGGGAAAACACAACAGGAAGTGCATCTTTCACAATAAAGTCCTTTAAATACAAACTGCACTGAACACGTTCGATCTTATTGGATCAGATATCAGACCTGCTGAAGACGACCTTTAGGCTGAAGGTCACAGTGGGACAGGTCGTTGTTGTTGTCTCGTTTACGGCAGACGGTTCTGGAAATCTCCAAATCCACGATGTACCGAACCCCCTTAACAACCTGAAACCACAACAGAGTCAGACATAATCAATCAGATTATTATGATTCTGCCAATTCTTGTACCTTCAATGTTCCAATAATCCATAATAATCAATCAATAATCTATAATAATGACCTCATTAGAAAAGGGTAAATTAAAGGATTCTGGAGAGTTCCTGTTCACCTGCCGTTGACCTTTGACCCCATAGACGTACCTGCCGCTGCGCTCTGATGACGTTGGAGGGTTTGAAGAGGAAGGCGTCGTTTGATTGGTTGTTGAAGGAGTAGGCGGCGCCGAGAACGACCCGCTGGAGGCCGGGGTCGTCCCTGCTGATGTTGGACGGAGATCCGGGCATCGAACCGCCCGCCACCGTGGACGCAGCTGCAAGAGAAGAGACGTTGTCGTTATTTCAGCCTCATATTGATCCGTTTACTGACGTCACTGATTATTGGCTCGAACTGCCGCACAGGTTAAAGGTGAATATCCACTTGTGGCGGGAACGCCGGGGCCGGACAGAAACAACCAATCAGTTCTTCTGCAGCGTCGATCAGCTGGAAGACTTTAATCTACAGTTTCCAGTTTATTTGTGTTTCTTTTCAAATATTTGTCAGATTAGCTCGAACAAACACTGAACACCTCCTCGTCCCGTTCACACGCTCAAAGAAACACATTTTCTGTTTACTTTTAGTTTTTGTACAAAATATTATTTCATTAACAGAAGTTATCTCAGGAGGTTCAGTAAAATAATGTTTCTCAGCTGGTTTTAGTTTTAATGAACAGTGTCTCAAACAGGAAACTCAGGTGTCTGAGTGCCTTTGAACGTAGCAGCAGGAAGACTGATGAGGCATCCACAGACAGTTTGACCAAAGAGCTTTCGTATATTGACAGAAAGAAACTGAAATAAAATAAATATTGAACTTTTTCTTCTCGTTGTGAAAGATTTGATGAAACAAGCTGCAGATATTTTAGATTATTTCATGCTTTTATTCTGAAACTGAACAAACAACGGGCAGAAACAAAAGCTGCGTGTTTTACTTTGAAATCAGTGAATAAGTTCATGAGTCAACAGTTTGAAGCTTCTTGTCTCTGTTTCGTTTCCACAAACAAAACAAAGAAAACCTGAAACATTGGGAAGTTGTAAACGCCGAACGGGG